AGCTGGAATTGGACAATGAACTCCAATGTGCAAATGGAGCAGAACTGATCCCAGGGAGAGCCCCGTGAGCGCTCGTGCATTTTGGGACCATTTTGGTTCATCTTGGGTGCAGCCCTGGCTGGGCTCTTGTGCTGCCCAAGGTGGATCCATTGAGGAGATCCTTTGAATAAATCCCTGCTTTATTCTCCAGCTCTGTCTGGCTCTGTTCTATGTCAGCCTTCTCAAGGCATCAAAGGCAAACCAGAGACAGGGGTGGCCCAGGGTTTTGGGGTTGGGTGGGATTTTCTCACCAGCAGACTTTATATTCTGTTACTGGCACAGCAGGGAAACCTAAGCCCAGGTTTCTCTCCAAATTAAACTCATCAGCACTGATTGCACACACAGAAAGGAACATCCCGCCTGTTCTGCAACAGAAGGAATGAAAAAAAACCTTTATAATCAGCTGAAAATACAGAGGATTCATGGAGGGGCTCATTCTCCCCCTCCTGCTCCTCCACAACTGCAGGAAGAAGAACAGTAAAGCCAGCCAGGGCGTTGTGGTGATGCTGGCTGGGAGCAGCCTCTGGGGATCCTTGGTCCAAGCTCAGGGACAGCCTCAGAGCTGCAGAGGGCTGTTGAGGGCCTGAGATAACAGCATGGCTTACCAAGGCTGCCCTGAGCCTGGCAGAGCAGCACAAACACAAACGCTGGTGTTGTGGCTGGAACCCCCAGGCTGCCCTGTCCCATCCCCTCCCAGGAGAGAGCTCCATCCCCACACGGCCAGGCCACACAGCCACCTCATGCTCTGGGAGACGTGGCGTTTGTTGGGTTTGGGGTTTCTCATGCACCAAACCGCCACGCTTTCCATGAGGGGTTGGGCAGGAGCTCCTTTCCCTCACCAGCACTTTCAGAGCACCCTCTGCTGCCCAGGCTCAACTCTTTCCTCTGGAGAGCACCATCCCATGGACCAGCACTGCTCCAAGACTGTGCTGTTTTAACTTCTTTTTTGCCAGGGTCAGGATTAAATGTGTGAGATGGTATTTCTTGTTGGGACTCAGATGTTTATCAGTTCTTCTCTCACAAACCCTCAATTCTACAGCACTTCACTCTAACAAACTAAAAACGGAGCCCCATCTCTCTCTCTGAAAGGCCTTTTAAGGATAAACTGTCCAATTAAGAAATGACAGCTAAATTATTTTGACTTTTAACCCAATAACCAACCACCCATGGCCTGCAATGCAGACTTTTTTATCCAATTACACAAAATCACCCAAACCCATGGAGAAGAAGGTGAAGAAGAAGGATCAGTTTCTGCCCCAAAACCTCCATCTTGTTTCATATACATTACTATATTCTAAACCCTTAAATTCTAAGTTTCCCACCCTGTGATATCACACACTTCTATTCAAACTCCACACCCACAATCCCAGTGCTATCATTCCACTTTGGAACATATTACGCAGCCTCATGTCAAATGCAGTATTTACCTGGGGGTCAGCACAGAAAGTTCAAAATTCTCAGCATCCAGAGTTCCAACACAAAACCTCAGTGCCCACATGGCCAGCCAGCAGCAAGCTGAAGAGCAAGGAAATTTAGGAGAAACCCCCTGAGATGAAAGCAGCATGGGGCAGGGGATCTCAGGTGCCTCCTGTCCGTGTGTGGGGGATGCTCCCTCCCAAGTCTCCCATCATGGTCACACCAGTCCTGTCCTGGCAGCAGCAGATGGGAAAGCAGTTCAGTGATCACCCTCTGGCTGCTTTCCAGGAAGGCCCTCCTCTCCCCATGCCTTTCAGTGGGTGCTTGTTGGAGGGAAATAAAATCACTGTTAAAGCCTATGCAATAAACTTGGCTCAAAATTCTTAATTTTTATCTCGATTTTTATTTTCTGATTTGCTTGTGCCTTAATAGGCTATGCAATGATTCACCCTGGGGGGGTGCCCACTAATGTGGTCCTAAACTTGATGCCAGAACCAGGAGTGGCTACAGGAACCTTTCTGATGTCCTGTCCCCAAAAGGAAAGCAAATTCTGTAGGTGCTGGGAGGAAGAAGGAGTGGCTTTTTTTTCTCATCTGGGCATACCTGATCCTGTTCTTCCACCTTTCCTCCTCTCCCTGCAGGGAAAAAATCAGATTATTCTCAGAGTCACTGCTTATTTGAGGGTGAGGCAGCTGGGAGGGCTTCTGGCATTGCCTCCAGCTGGTCCTTGGTAGAGACCAGTCATTAGAGCTGCAGGTGGAGGTGGAGCCATCCAGGCTTTCCAAGGCATTTGGGCAAGCGTGGCTGGACCAGACCTGGCAGGTGCTGGCTGCAGGATCCCACGGGGAGCACACTCAGCACCAGAGTCCTGCAGCAAGGAGTGGGCACCTGGGCAAGGAATGGAGAGGCCACGAAGGCAGAGGTGCCAAAAATGACATCCAGGGCTGTGGGTCTCAGATTCAGTCAAAGAGAGAAATGGAGAGTTTCTAGCCAGGCAGAAGCCTGGGAAAGAGCTGGAGAAGAATGTAAATAGCTCTCTATCTCTCTTGGTTTTTACATTGTTTATAGTTAAGTTCTATCACTGTGCATCGAGCACTCTGCACCAATGGTTGAGTTGTTTTCACTTCAGGACCAATGGAGTTGGTCCTCATGAAGCTCTGTATAAAAGAGCAGTGTATTTTGAATAAATGGGAGTTTTACTCTCATGCAGCCTTCTGGTCAGTCTTCTCATTCCTGTCCTGCCTCGACAGTGACATGAGGCTCGTGTGACCTGTCCCCTCAGGCACCAGGCAGCTCCTGGCCAAAGGCATCACCTGCTGACAAGAGGGGAAGCCTGGCAAGATGTGAAATCTCTATCCACAGCTCCTTCCCTCCCCGGGGATGGATGTATTTTTCTATTTTTTTTATAGAGCACCCCCTGAAGTCACTAGGGGACTGGGAGCTTCTGCATTTTCAGGCTCATTCCGTGCAAGGAGGTGGCAGGAAGAGCTGTAAAGAGCCCGGATGGCTTTCCAGTGGAGTTCGGTGGGATGAGCTAGGCTGGCCCCACTCACCCCTCATCTCCCGGGGCACCAGCAGCTGCCCCTTGCGCCAGCGCCAGTCCCAGCGCCGTGCAGACCCCAGAGCTGCCCACCCCCGGGCTCGCAGCGGTCAGGGCGATGCCAAGCGGCTCCATCAGGTGGACCCGAGCCATTTGTCACAGCTCTCGGCTGCTCTCAGCCACGGGAGCGTTCCCGAGCAGGGAGGCTGTCTCCTGCCCGAGCCGACTCCAGCCCCCAGGTAAACTACACCTCGGCAGGAGGAGGGATCAGGGGGAGTGGCGCCTCCCGACGCTCCCGAATTCGGGCAGAGGGGGTAACAGCCCGATGAGAGAGGCGGCAGGGACCTTCTGCTCGGGGACATCAGGGACAAAGGCTCCCACAGCTCTTCTGACCGCCACGGGTAATCCCTCCTGCCTGGGTGCCACCCTGGGGACAGCGGGGCGGGCTGGAGGCACTCGGAGAGCGCCGGGATGGGCAGCAGCGCTCCCCCGGGAATGCCGGCTCCAGAGGGATGCCTCTGCTCAGGGAGCGGGGTGGGAGTGTTTGGAGATGGGTCAGGACCGCTGCTGCTGCGAGAGGTGTCACCCCGCCGAGGGTTCTCCAAGCCTGCTGGGATGAAGGACATTTCACAAAGGGAATTTTTTTTTTTTTTTTCCAAGCTGGCTGTCGGGAGGAAAGGGCCACCCATCCCAGGCAAGGCTCTGCCCCGGAATTTGCATGCCCTTCTCCTGAGGCTGCGTCACAAAAATGCGTTCAGGCTCTCCTTGCTTTGCTAAAGGCTCGCCCTCGAAATAACAAGCGCGGAGCCTCGTGGAGGGCTGGTGTCCCCAGATGGCCCCGGGGGGCTCAGGGTGCTGCTGGGGAGCCCTTGGTCCCCCGGCTGGGAGATGGGGTCCCTGGGTGCGGGCACGGCCACCCCGAGCCGGTGCTGAGAGCCCGAGGGATGTGCCCAGGTGCAGAGATGCAGGTGCTGATCCTCCTCTCCACCCGCTCCGGCGACACCAGAGGGAGCAAGTGGCTTTTGTCACCTCCTGCAGCACGGGGAGCCCGTTCCTCCCGCGGAAGGGTGACAGAAACCCGGCTCCCGGGTCTCCTCCCTGTCACCAGGGAAGCAGTGATACCCGGTGCAAGATACCTGGCGCTGGCATTCAGTGGGGATCTGACAGGTCCCTGCTAAGCTGCTCCACACTACTGAGCTCCTCTAAGCAGCTGAGGCAGTATTTCTGCTGTGAGTTGGTCACCTCCAGCAAATTTACCCATTCCTATATATGGCAGGGGGCTGCCCACGGCAGAGGGGTGGGAACAAGATGACCTTTCAGGACCCTTTCCACCCAGAGCATTCTGTGTTTCTGTTTTTTGTGAAATAAAATAGCATCGTGAGATGTGTTGTGGTAGGAGCAAGCTGAAGCAGACACCAAAATCCTTCCCAGGAAGAACAGAGGTGTCCTGAGATGGCATTTCACTCATTACACCCAGTTCTGCAAAAACAAGCCAGGGGTATCCCAGGGTCTCTCTCAGCCATAAGGAGAACCCAAGCAAACCACATTACTTGTTTTCTTCTTAGGAACGTGGCCCTGCGACTTAAAATTGGGTGGTTTACTGCTCATTAGTTCAGCTGTCAGTGGAACAAAATAACCTATTCTTCCAAGTATCCAAGAAGTTATTTTAAATTAATAATTTATAATCACCTCCTCAAAAACCTCAAAAAAGTTTTGCCCAGGCACGTATGGATGTACCTGTACCTGTGCATGTTTCTGAATACGAGGGCCTGATGGAGAACGTGGGATTAAAATGTGATGGAATTCGGACTCTGGCTTTTTTCAAGATTAGCAAAATGAGCCATTTTCAGAATTAGAGGCCTTCTGTTTTCAAATCATTTCACCTGTTGAGGGGTCAGGTTGATATCCTGATGGAAGTGCAGTGCACATCAAGAGAACTCCCCCCAGCTTCTGTGCCAGCGCCAGCAAAGTCTCTCAATGTTTTGCCAATGCTTTGCAGAGCACCATGACGTGGCTGTTCCTCACCATTTCTTGTTTCATGCTCATCACTACAAAGTCAGAAGAGAACCCCGAGGTGTCCATGGATGTTGTAAGTCCCTTCTTTTACTGCCTGGTTGAGCAAGTTACCCACATGATCTGTGCAAGACCCATGGGCTCTGTGTGCCTTCACCGAGGACTGACACCAGGTTTTTATTAGATATTTGTTTCCCTGCTCTTACGTACACGGAGATTTATGGCAGGTATTTACGGGGAGGGCTTTGATCCAAGTCAGCAGGTTTGGTCAGAACAGCCCTCTCAGGCTCAGAGTTTGGCTTTCTGTGCTGCCCTGCTCTTGACTGCAGCACAAAAAGCGACAGCTCTTCACCAGACCTGCCAAAAATTCTGACTGAAATCATGACATTGCTACAGCGTTGGTGGAAGGGACATTGGGAGGTCCTGAGCCCACCCTCCCCCTGGAGTTACCACCAGCACTGATGGCTTTGCCCAGCCAAGCCCTGCCACTGCTGAGGACAGAGACCCTCCATCCCTGGGGCCTGTCCCATGCTCTCCTTCCCTTCCCACAGGGCGAAATTGTCCGGTACCACGGGTATCCCTATGAGGAGCACGAGGTGGTGACAGATGATGGATATTACCTCACCCTGCAGAGGATCCCCCATGGCAGAGACAAGCCAGAGAGCTTCAGCATCTCCCACGAGGCAGGGGCGCAAGCATCCAAATTGTTCTGTCCCTGTAAGTGTCACTGGAAGCTCTGCCTGGCCCGGGCACCCTGAGAGCTTTGCTGGGCTGGAGCAGCCCACGGCCAAGGCCACCTCAGTGTGGGGTGGGTCCTCCAGGAGGCAGCTTTCCCTGTAGGAAAAACCAGGCAAATTGCCTCGGGGGCAGAAGAAATGCAGGTGCCCACCATGCTGACCTTGTTCTGAGAGGATTTGCTCCAAAGAGGAAGGAGGATGAATGAGGGAGAGAAATCTTGCCCCAGGTTTTACAACTCAGCTCAAAACCAAAGAGTGGAGCAGCAAAAAGCCATTAATCAGGAAAGGAAACCAAACCAGGCAGCCAATCCAATGCCATCTCACTATTTTGCATCCTTCCTGTGTCCAATTCAGTGCCATCTCACCATTTTGGGATCTTCCTGTTCTGCACTGTTTCAAAGCTATGGTGGGGTGGTGCCCAGTCCTTGACAGTGTGCCTATCCCCTGGGAAACATGTACACACATATGTATGGCAAATAAGTGTAAAAAAAACCCCAGATTTCCAGTCTCTGTCCCAGCCTTCTTCAAAAACACCTCCCCAGAGAGACTGGGGACAGAGGACAGTGTCCCTGCACTGGTGCCACTTCCCAGGGGGTGCTGCCAAAGCAATACCTGGTTGTGAATGATTGATTTTGCTCATGGTCAGAGAAAACGATTCCTCCTCTTCTTCCTCCAGCTCCAAAGGCCGTGGTCCTCCTGCAGCACGGGCTGGTGCTGGAGGGAAGCAACTGGGTCACCAACTTGCCCAACACCAGCCTGGGCTTCATCCTCGCCGACGCTGGCTACGACGTCTGGATCGGGAACAGCCGGGGGAACAGCTGGTCACGGAAACACAAGGAGTTTGAGTTCTACCAGCAGGAATACTCAACTTTCAGGTACTTGCCGTGAAACTGGAGGGGTGGGCAGGTCCCTGGTACCCTCAGCAGTGTCTGCAGGCTGGAGGAGGGGGGGCTCCTGTCAGTCACACCCTCTGCCAGTGGGCAGAAACCGGGTTGCCCGTTCCTGCCGAAGCGCTTGACCACATCCAAGTAGCCATGGCAAGGTCAGCAAGGGTGATTTTGTCATGTGCCTGTCTCCCCTGCAGCTTCCATGAGATGGCCATGTATGACCTTCCAGCATGCATCAACTACATCCTGCAGAAAACGGGGCAGGAGCAGCTGTACTACGTGGCTTATTCCCAAGGCACCACCGCAGGTACTGAGGAGGAGAGCAGACCCGGCAGAGTCACATCAGCTGTGCACCCCCAGGCTGGGAGTGCTGCTAAAACCTTGGTCAGGGAGGGGAATGTCCAGGCATTCCCAAACAACAAAAGGGGAAAAAAGCAGGTGATTGCTTTAACAGAAGAGTTTTGAGCTCTGGCAGCCCCAAACCAGGTGCATCTCATTGCTGCCAGGGTCCTGCTGGAGCCACCTCTGAGGGGCCTTCTGATGGGCACACACACCTGGAGATCAGCAGCTGCCTCAGAAACAGCAGGGCAGGGTCTGCTTCCTTCTCCCTCCCGCAGGTTTCATTGCCTTCTCATCCATTCCCGAACTGGATCGCAAAATCAAGATGTTCTTCGCCTTGGCTCCCATCACCGTGAGCTCAAACATGAAGACACCCTTGGTGAAGGTGTTTGACCTCCCCGAGGTGCTGATTAAGGTGTGTCCTCACCACACGTGAGGTGTCAGGGGGAGGAGGGACTGGGAAGGTCACCTGAGACACGCAGGGCTTGTACATCACCTCCATCTCCCTGCTCTGTGTGTTTGTGCGTGTGCTGCGAGCCTGGAGGGCAGGTAAATCATCTTCCTGTCCAGCCTCAATCAGAGAACCATTAACAGGAATTGGGTTTGGGCCCCTTCTCCCAGGAGAAACCTCTCCTAGGAAGGTCAGGGCTCTTCCAGGGCTGTGGCCTTTTCTGAAAAGCCAAAATGACGAAGCACAGCAAAGTTGTCAGCAACTCTCAGGGGTGAGCAAAGAGGTGGGGAGCACCTGGAGGCAAAAAAGAACATGATACACCCCACTGATACACCCTCTGACTTCCACAGCTCATTTTAGGACACACAATGGTCTTTGATGAGGATGATGTCTTGAAGCAATTGATTTCCAGAATGTGTGCTTACCCCATGCTGAAAAGTGCGTGCTCTTTGATATTTTACCTTCCTGGAGGGTTTACCAACAGCTTGAACATGGTATGTACACTGCAGCTTCCTCTCAGAGATCCACTTCCTCACTGTCCCAGCCCCAGCTGTCAATCTGCTCCCTACCATCTTTGGTTGGTAGAAAAATTCAGGCTGAAGGCACCAGGGTGGGTGTTCCTCAAGTAAAGGGTTGGTGTAATTCCTTAATATTCCAAGAAGGAAATGTATTAGGAGCAGCACACAGAGCTACTGCCATGAGCTGAGCTTTGTCTTTGCAAAATGACCCTGAGCACAAGGTATGGAGCCTCACTTGGCCTTGGGAGCCAGGCAGTCCCCTAACATGGGAACTGCTCAGCTTGCTGCAGGGAGCTCTGCAGCTCGCTGTGAGCCTGTGGGGAGGCTCCTGTGCTTACCAAACAGGTCTGGGTTTATTTCTGACGTGGATTTTTTTTGGGGGGGGGGAGGGCAGAGAATAAACCTCCCTGATGGTTTCTTGCAGAGCCGCATGGATGTCTACCTGGCCCACTACCCTGACTCCACATCCCTACAAAACATGCTGCACTGGCGCCAGGTAACTCCTCGTGCTCTCCTCCATCTGCTCAGGGGCTGTGGACAATCCCCCACTGCTCCCCTGCAGAGCTGTGTGAGCGAGAGAGGAAAGCTGCCCTGGAACACTGCTGCAGGTGAAGTTATTTATTCCAACAAAAGAGGCCCAAGAGTGCTTGGCGCTTGTTGGAGGTGGAGGTGGAACAAAGGCTGGTGAAAAACCAGGGCAGGAGATCCAGAGTGAAGGCTGAGGGTCAGTAAGGCCACAAATGATCCAATTAATTATTGAAAACGTTCCATCGCGTCCTTCTGCTGATGGCATTGACCACAACACACAAAAAACTTGCCCAAAGGTCTGATTCATGTCTCCCATCAGGCTCTTGCTTGTACACCATGTTCTTCCCTGTGGGTTTCCTCACCGAGGTCTTCCTGGGGCAGGGCTCTCCTCCCAAAATCCAGTACCAGGTGTAAAAACGGCTTCCCTGAGCCTTGGTGGCAGGAGGGAGCAGTGCAGTTCCCTGTCACCTGTTTTATCTTTCTTACAGCCCTTTCCAATGCATGGATAATAAACATAATAAACTCTCCTTTTCCAGCTCTACCAGACAGGGGAATTCAAATATTATGATTACGGCAGTGACAACATGCTTCGTTACAACCAGGTAAGAGCGAGCTCAGAGGAAAAATAGAAATATTCCAATTAAAATATTGCAGTGGCTGAGACTGGATTTGGAGAAGTGAGCAGCCTGGGCTAGTGGAAGTTGCCCCTGCCCACAGCAGGGGAGCTGGGACAAGATGATGTTTGAGGCCCATCCCAACCCAGACCATTCTGTGATTCCATGAATTACATGGTATTTATGGAATTTGCTTTGTGTGGGGAAGCAGGCTCATAACTTTCTAATAAAAATAAGTGACTCAAGTCACTCAGTGATGACTTTTTGACCCTCTGGTGAAAAGAGCAGCAGCCCAAGGCACAGTTAGGCTCCCTGGTGATAGTTCCTCGTCTATCCCTTGGGATAAGGGAGAAATTCCAAGCAGCCATCAGGATACACTTTGAATTTTTGGCTTGTCCTTTACCTGCCTTCTGTCTTCCAGACCACTCCTCCCTTCTACAAGCTGGAGAACATGAAAACCCCGCTGGCTGCCTGGTATGGGGGCAAGGACTGGATTTCAGTCCCTGAAGATGTGAACATCACCCTGCTCCGTATCTCCAACGTGGCCTACAGAAAGTACATCCCTGAATTCGTCCACTTTGATTTCCTCTGGGGCGAGCACGTCTATGAGCAGGTCTACAAAGAAATGCTTGACCTGATGGAGAAGGGTGCCTAGAGCTGGAGCAGTGGCAGAGATTCTTGGCTTCTCAATGACTTCTGGGGGTTCTTTCATCTGGGGGAAAAAAAAATTAAAAAAGAAGAAAAACTGGGGGGGGAAGCTCAATAAACTGCTACACTTGGTGTGGAATGATATTACTTTGGCCAGTGAGGAAAACCAGGCAGTCCAATGATTGGGGAAGCACTCTGGATTGAGGTTCAATAGGCTGAGGTCCCTGCAGAAGCTGAGCATGGCCCTCAACCCTGAGTCTCCCACGTGCCTCCCTCACAACCAGTTTAGTGGAACTTGGCTCCTGGTGGCCACTGGGGACTCTGGGCTCCTTGAGCTTGGCTTGCCAGCTGCAAACAGCTGGACAGAAGCTCCGTGCCCTCCTGGATGCTGGTGTCCCACAGGAGCGGGTCTGCTGGGATGAAGCCTCGTGGTGGATGGATCCTGCTTTATTCACCTTCTGGGAACTCTTCCACACCAAAAATCCCAACATCCTGTGCCTTCCTTCACAGCTGGAAGGAGCTATAAACGTCCTGCCTGGTGACAATGAAGAGTGGCCAAAGATTTGTATCCATGAGAACCTCCCACTTCACTAACAGAGGGGACATCTTTCTCAGATTCATGCTGATTTGGACAATCTTATTTATGCACAAAGAAGTTTCAGTAAATTCTAGCAGGAAACACCATTTTGCACCACTTTAAGCTATTCTAAGGCACAAACCCAGCTGCAAAAGCCACCTTTTGCTGCCTCTCAGGGAGAAAGAAGATGTGGTGGAAAGCAGTAACGAGCCTAAATCTGTTTTCAGCTTCTGGATGAAATTGTTAACAATACCTTAATCAGAGGAGGAATTGCAAATTTGCTGATTTGTGTAACTATCTTCTTAAAATATGCCTGGGACCAAGCAGGGCAAAGGATAAGGTTCTCTTTCCACAAATATGTCGTAATAGTAATAGTAATAGTAATAATAGTAATAGTAATAGTAATAGTAATAGTAATAGTAATAATAATAATAATAATAATAATAATAATAATATATAATAAAATTTGGTCTACTGGGCTCTGTGTGGTTGTACTGTTAACTAGAGATTAAAACTCTGGAGAAATTGTCCCCTGGGAGGGTGGGCAGGCCCTGGCACAGGGTGCCCAGAGCAGCTGGGGCTGCCCCTGGATCCCTGGAAGTGCCCAAGGCCAGGCTGGATGAGGTTTGGAGCAGCCTGGGACAGTGGAAGGGGTGGAATGAGACAGGCTTTGAGGTCCCAAGCCAAACCATTCCAGGATTTTGTGGGTGTGGGGGTTTTGAGCACAGACCTCTTACCCTGTGCAGGTGAGGGAGAGCTGCTTGCCCGATGCTCCTCCTGCCCATGGGTCATTTCCTGTGGCTGGTCATGCTGGCAGATGCCCAGGGTGCCACCAGCATCTCCCAGCAGGGAAGAGATGGGTGGTGAGACGCTGGAATTCTAGATGCTCAGAATATTAAACTTTCTGTGCTAAAAGGCACAGACTCACAAAAGAGCACTATTTGACCTAAAGCTGTAAAGAAGACTTCCAAAATTGATTAATAACACTATGAGCATATAGTTAGTTAAAAGTGTGTAATATCACAAAGTAAAAAAGCTTAAAGTTTTAAAATATAGAAATACATATGAAGCAAAATTAAAGTTTTAGGGCAGAAACAGGTTGTTCTTTTTCACCTTCTTCATGAGTTTGAGTAATATTTTGTAATGAAACAGAAAAGTCTGCATTGCGGGCTTTAATAGATCAATTATTAAGTTAAAAGAGAATATAATCTAAGTGTAATTTCTTAATTAGATAGTTTAGTCAAAATACTTTGTAACAAAAATAGTTAGCCATTTTGTGCCTTACTAATGAAAGCTTACAAAACTCATAGTTGTGAGGCTATTTCAGGGATAAGAAATAATAAACACCTAAGTCCAAACATGAAATACTGTTTCAACTGCCTTCAAGCTCAAACTCAACAAATGTTAAAAATAAATAAATAAATAAATAAATAAATAAAAGCAAAAAACCCCCAATGAGGAGGGTATGGAGCCCAGCACAGCTGCTCTCTGGAGCCAAACTGTGGGGTTTTAGCAGCAAAGTTTCATCCAGGTCACTGGAGATGGTGGCACAGGGCTGGAGGTGCCTTGTGGGACAACTGCAGAGGGCTCTGCTGGGGTTGTCACCTGTAAAGTGTTTCACTTTCTACCCTCAAGCTGGAACTGACCACATCAGAAAACAGGACAGGGTGAGGTAATGAATGCCAGGGTGCAGGAATGAGGCTATAGGTCAGATGGGATCTGCCTGGATTGCCAGTGATTAGCTGCCTCACTTAGGACATTTGTAATGACATTTTTTTCTGTGATCAGCTGCTCAGGGCCGTGCCCTGGAGCAGCACCTTACAGGGCTGCACTGTGCTCATGCCATGGGTACCGATGCCAATGCAGGATGGCTTCTCCACCTTGCAAAATAAACACACAAAGATGCTGGCAAGATGTTCCCACTGCAAACTTCTGAAAAGCTGGCAGGAAATCAGCATCACAGAATCCTTAAGAGACCTCCAAGATCATCAAAGCAAACCATGCTCACGACTAAAACACATCCCCCACCTGCCATTAATTCAAATTCAGTTTAAAAGCGCCAACTTTTAACCTCTGAAAACTCATAGAAAGTGCAGGGTTTAGTCTCTTTCTGTTCAGGTTATGAAGTTTCTGCCGCTTCTACAATTATCTGGGTCAGTGTTTGCAATACATTATCTTCACTCTCCCCTGACAGAGCACTTTGGTGAAGTTCTGGCTCGATCAGCTTCTGGTACTTGCTTCCCCTCGGCTGGCAAAGGATCAATAATAAATGAAGAGGTGTGTTTTGGAAGCAAAATGATTTATGCTTTCAGAATAAATATTGTGAAATTCCATCTCCTGAGATGGCATTGGCAGGATTGGAGGCCTGGCGTGTCTCAGGTCTGTCAGGAAAATCAAACAGCACCAGACAGGTCTGTGGTGATTGCATCACAGAATCATGGAATCCCAGAGTGGCTTGGGTTGGAAGGAACCTCATAGACCATCTCATTCTACTCCTTCCACTGTCCCAGGCTGCTCCAAGCCCTGTCCAGCCTGGCCTTGGGCAGTTCCAGGGATCCAGGGGCAGCCCCAGCTGCTCTGGGCACCCTGTGCCAGGGTCTGGCCACCTCACCAATATCCCATCTGACCCTTCCCTCTGGCAGTGGGAAGCCATTCCTTGTGTCCTGGCACTCCATCCCTTTTAAACAGCCTCTCTTCATGACTTTTACATCTCCTTCAGGCCCTGCAAGGCCACCCTGAGCTTAGCCCAAAGCTTCTCCTCTCCAGGTGAACAATCCCAGCTGTGCAGCCTTTCCTCCCAGCAGAGCTGCTCCATCCCTCTGCCCATCCTGGTGCCTCCCCTGGATCTGCTCCAACAGATCAATGTTCCACATATCTCAGTCCATGGTGATCAATTCAACCCCTCAGCAGCTTCCAAGGCAGCACAAAGCCTTCACCACCCTATTTCTCCTCCCTGTGTGGGCAACCCAGCCTCAGTCACACGTGGGGAGGATGTTGGTCACTCAGCCTCTTGTTCAATTTTCTTCCAGGTGTGCTCATGCAGAGGGTGTCACATGAGGCCGTGAGGGCTCAGAGCTGTGTCACATCCCTCCCAGGGCACAGCAGTGTCACCCTGTGAGCTGACCCATCATTTCCCACCCTCACACAGGACAGCAGCACCCAGCAGGCGTGCAGTGGAGCCCCAGGCTGTGCCCACGCTGGGGAGGTGCTGAACACCCCAACACAGCCTCCTTCCCACAGGCACAGGCTGCAAGAGATGTGGTGCTTTTGCAAGTAATCCAAGGATTGCTCTGGTGTCTGCTTTAAGCAACGTGCTGGCCTGTGGGGTTATTTAGAAACTGATTTGTCCCAGAGTTAATCTAGGACAAGGTTTCATTGAGTTATGACAGATGGTGTGCTGCCTTTTGTCATCCTTTTGATCCTTCACAACCTGATAATGATTTCCAGGGGCGTTGCTGAGTAGATTCAGGGTTTAATTTGGTCGAAAACCCTGTGCTTTCTTATTTCAGGAACTCACAGCAATTTCCATGTTATTTCCCATGTAATTTTCAAATTTTCTTTTGAGTTTGTTAGATGAACCTCTGAGAGAAAGAGACCCTGGTTCTGAGACTTGTATTTTCATGTGATGGGACTTCAAGCAGGTGGGAATATAAGGCCATGGACAGCTACAGTTAGCTGAAATCAAGATCACCTGCAATTTCCTCAAAAACTTCACAAGACTGTATCGATCATGATGGTTCTTCTCCTAGGCAACCACTGACAGAACAAGAGGACACAGCCTTAGGCTGTGCCAGGGAAGTTTGGGTTAAACATCAAGAGCAAATTCTTCACTGAAAGAGTGATTGGGTGTCAGAATCTGAGGTATTGATTAATCCAAGATTGTAGAAAGTCTTTGTCTGTCTGCCCTGCTGCTAAAGAAGAAGCCATAATTGGTCTGTGCTGGTTTCCAGGTTGTTTATTCTGTTTATCTCTCACATGTTCTGCTGCCCTGCCCAGCTCTGTCCTGCAGGGCAGCGTGTGGGGCTCTGCCCTCAGTGGGATGTGACAAACATTAAATACCAGAAACTCCCTGGGCTGGATTTACAATAACGTGCCAATATCTGTCACCTACGTTGGACAGTGTGTCCCCAGCCTGAACCAACAGAAAAATGCCAACACCACAGTGAGACATGGAGGGCATGAAGAAGGAGAAAAAGGACAAGGCACACCCAATTTCCTCCAGCTTGTCCCCTTTGGACCCCTAATCTAGAATCCTAAAATTTGACTTTTGCACCCGTGCCACATTTAATTATTACTTATATCAAACACTCAGAGCTGGTAATTCATGTTGTAAGATTGAAAACTCTTTTCCATGGCCAGAGATCACAGACAGTGTCTCTGGGGGCTCTGTCCAGGGGGGTTCCTGACCCCTGCCAGGGTCCCAGGGCAGCCAGGGCAGCCAGAGGGATGCCCTGGACTCCCACAATTGGGCACTGGAATATTCTGCCCAAGGAGGTGTTGGAGTCACCATCCCTGGACACGTTTAAAAGAAGACTGGATGTGGCACCCAGTGCC